GGTTGTTTAAAACATGGTGGCAATTTTACACATAATATGTTACATGTTAGTTGTTGCACAAGTTGCTGAAAACCGTTGCCATCAGGTTGCCGACGGATTTCTTACAAAGTTTTGCATTGTCTGCAACCTGAGAGCAACCTAGCGGCAATACCTGTTTTTTACCTATTGCTTAGATTTTGAGGAACCCTCACGTGTTGCGCGCCGGTTGCCGACGAATTGATAGACATTTAATTTTAAGTTTCTTGCCGATTGTTGTTGGGAACCTGCTTTTATTATATTTTAAAACCTGTTGCTGACAAAAACATACTGAAAAGAGGATACCCACTTTTGTTGCATTGCTGAAAACTTATGAGCAATATTTGTGGCAAGTTGCCAACAACTTGCATTCAGTTGGCTATCTGGGCAAGTACGATAAATACTCTATATCAATATGAAGTACTAATTGTTCTACAGAATATATTTTATATTTTATATTGCGTGTACAAACATACATACATACAACAATATACATACAAATATGACGTTACTGTTAGCATTTCGGGCGTCCGGCACAACTTTTATATTAAACAAGCCGTTTTGAAATCCATTTTTATGTAAGTTTCTGCTAACACTCTGCCACGACAAATGTTTATCGTCCCAATTGCGATAAGGCATAAACTAGTGGCCATTCGGCGTATTTACTTAAAATGGCGGTAAAATTAATATTTCCGTTCGCATCACTGTTATCTAAAGAAAAATAAGAATGCGTTTGTTTTTTTTTTTAAGTTGATATTCGGTTTCGTTTACGTAAAAGAGGTTTTGAAATTATTAATTAAGTTTCGTATTTTTTACAATATAGATACATACCTTTTGTCACGCATTGCGAATATATTGTTTTTGCTTTTTTGAAAGACTTTGTATCACTTTCTTTAGGTGGTTCTTCTAAAAGTTTTAAAAGCAAGAAAACGACAAATTGTTATTTATCAATACTGACTGTTATATATCTAAGCACATATATTCAGAAATATAGTTTGTCCGACTTTATCTATAGTTCTAAATAAACCTAAATATAACAAACACAATCCAATTACTTCTTATTAAAAACATACGCAAATGACAAATACGTTTTTCGTTACAACTTGTATTTTATATAATTCTTATAAGCACGAAAGTTTTGAGTTTAAATATCTATAATTTCTTGTTTTAGTAGAATATGGCAAAATTGCAGTAAGTAAGAGCATTACGATTTAGACTTCTCGTTTTTCAGAGCTATCTAATTATTTCTTTTAGTATTGAGAATTCCCTGATATTCTTGAGTGACTGTACAACTGTAGAATGCGCGCTTATCTTTACTACAAAAGTCTAACTGCTTTCCTCATATCTCTTGATAGCTTTCTTCTAGGAAAAGATACACAAAAACTTATACTTATCGAAGATGAAGTAAAAAAATTATATATTTTATGTCTTTTGTTACTAGTGTGTCTCTAATGGAGAAGAAGAAACATTATCCAAAGTTGTAGATTCTCTGTTATGCTCACAAATTTACTGAAGTTCTATTGCAATTGTTTTAAGACATTGAATACACATATACAAATGTGTATTCTCCTTTATGCAATAAGCCAGAATTAACTTTAACATTCAATACTTTTCAAATAACTATTTATAAAATAAAGCGAAAAGTAGAGCAAATGTTATTATTTTTAGAAATATTTAAAGTTTTATGTATGTACTGTTGCTATGACTTCGGTGTTTGTGTAAGCAATTTCTTTTCTTGTATGAGTTATATGTTTCTTTTAGATGATCGATATAATTTTAAAATTTTACGTTGTTCAAAGTAGGTTAAAATAAATGTACGTTAATCAAAACAGGAAGTAAATCAAAAAATGGAACTCTTATCATCCGTTTGCTATGATAAACGAATACTTGTAAACAAATAAGTTTATAAAACATATAAGTTTGACTCGATTTGATATGCACACTTTCACATTTTTAAAGATTTTTGTATTTGTACATACACACACTTATATATAGGCAGCATTAAAGTTATACTAAAACTGTACCTCGAAGTTGCTTCTTCGTTTGTTCGGTAATCTCCGTAAGCGTAGAAACGTATCAGTCGTCGTATATGTAAGTGAAAAAAACGACTGATATTGTAAAGACGAAAGTTACAGGAGTGGTTCTTTCGAG